AAGATTGTGGAATGATTTACCTGTTCATCTTCGGATGTGTGAATCATTAACCATTTTTAAGAAGTTTCTTAAAACATATCTTTTTAACTTGTTTTTAAATAGTGTATGATGTATTCTATAGTTTTAACATTCTTAACACTAGTTTTAAGATTGGATTTTATATTACTGTAAAGCGCCTAGAACAGTCTTGGTTTGTGCGCTATATAAATGTTTATTATTATTATTATTATTATTATTATATTATTCTACTAAAGTTCTATGGTTTTTTGGGTTTGAACCAAAATCGGGGTTTTGATAAGAACTACCTGAAATCCATGATCATCCATTTGCCATTTACCTGAAAAAACTCGACACTTCAGCGCAAGTTCGGAGCCAAAGGATGTCAGTGGTGGGTTATTACAGGGAGACTGATATTGCATTTTTAAATTAACGATAAACAGCATCAATACAAATGGCAAGACTTTTTTACCCGTTATCTGAGTACGTGTGCCAAGACACCTTTTTGATAATTACGTCATGAATACATTCTTCACCTGGGAGCCTCGCTCTCGTCAATCAAGATGGAAGGCGATTGGCTCACGATTCATGAGAACGAGGCTCCTGGGCCACGAACGTTTCATGACGTAATTATCGAAAAGTGTTATTATTTAATGGACCATTTGCATTATAGACTAAATTTTGATCTAGACAAAAATTTCATCACAGCTTGAAAGAGCATCACAAAATTAGTAATATTCCAAAGTTTCGTTACGAAATGTTGTAAAATGCGGATATAGGCATCTTGCGAAGTTTGCAAATTTCAGTCATTTTAGATTACAAACGGGAAATTGACAGCCCAAAGGGTATTGGTCTGTCAATTTCCCGTTTGTAATATAAAATGACTGAAAATTGCAAACTTCGCAAGGCTCTATATTATCCGCATTTTACAACATTTCGCAACGAAACTTTGGAATATTACTAATTTTGTGATGCTCTTTCAAGCTGTGATGAAATTTTTGTCTAGATCAAAATTTAGTCTAAAATGCAAATGGTCCATTAAGTCGCCGTACTATTCTTCCCTTCAGGGACGAATAAGTTTCATATATTGCTATAGTACCAGAGTAAACTAAATACATTTATAATATAACATTTGTAAATTCTGAACGCTGATTGGCTAAGAGCCGTGTTGATATAACTCCATGTCAACACGGGAAATTTTCCGCCACTTGTAACACGGAAATTTTTCTTATTCTTCGGGCTTTTGACATTGCTATATTATAAAACAAATATAAAACATTTTTTCCGTATTGATATATAGTTATATCAACACTCGTGGAAGTTGGGAAAACTCGAAATTGTGTGAAAACACTCCGCCCTTCGGGCGTCGTGTTTCCACACAATTTCTCGTTTTCCCAATTTCCACTCGTGTTGATATAACTGTATATCAACACGGAAAATGTTTTATATTTGTTAAATATACAACTTGACCACAACGTTTGAGCATGGATTGTAAAATAGTTGGATAGGAAACTTCCTGACGTCACAGTCCAAACCTAGTTGCAATCTGTGACGTCACGCGTATTGCGAATATGTACCAAAGTTCTCATTTTTGTTGTTTTGCTATATTTTCCGCTTTAAAAGAGTAATATTGAGGCATAATAAACTGGTCTTAATTGTTTTAAAAAACATGCCTAAGCCACGACAAAGTATTCAAGGTAAATGTTTTTCGTCTTTGTTTTGTATTTTTTTACATTTGTAGCTACGAAATTGGCGTCGCCAATTTTAACGAAATTTGTGATGCATTTTTCACTGTTTAGTGCTTGAAATAGTTGCTAAAATTGACTGGAAATACTTAGAGATTTCATCGTAGAATGGCGTAGTTATATTTATTTGCTCTTTGACTAAAATGTTTAGCTCTACATGCCGTTTTTGGGAATTTGGTTTGCAACTAGATTTCAACATGCAATCACGCCATCAGCTCATTGAAAACATTAGGTCACGTCAGCTAGTTTCCTATCCAATTATTTTATTATCCATGGTTTGAGATATCATAAGACTGAATCAGTATTTTGATAGCCTTGCTAAACAAGCCGTCTATCTCTTTAGACTCATTTGACATTTGGACGTGAATTCACAGCAGCTGTTGAAGCGAAGCAAGTTGGTATGTATTGGAATGAATTGTTTACATTTTAATACATCGTGCATTGAAAATGTTTCTCTCTTTCATTTACAGCTCAACAGGAAGCTGAGAGAGCCAGATTTCTTGTCGAGAAGGTAATTAGATTTTAAATATAAAGTTAGTGATTGACCGATTGTGCAACAATCGGAGATCCGATTATTCATGCCAAATCTTAGCCGATTTTATAATGACGTGATAATATCATAGAGCTGTGCAAGCTGTGTTATTTTACCTCCGGCACCGGCTTCGGCAGTCAAAACCCCGGCTGCGGGTCCGGCACGAAATTTTTAAGGAAATTCCATATTTAAAAGTGGAAGCAGGCGAAAGTATTTCAGTGTAATTTCAGAATTTATCTTTTTTAAAAACCTTTTTACAACAATATTAATAGTAAACCACATAGTACTATATAGTAAAACAACATATAAATAGTAATATATTAGTGAACAACAACTTTTAAATTTTCCCATTTAATGCCAAATGTTCGTTGAAATATGAAATAATTTTTCATAATTTTGTCTGCCGGAGTTTTTGCCGGAGTTTTCCGACTCCGGCAAAATCATGTAGATTTTTAACGATAATTTCCAACGAAACATGCTACTGCAACCAAAGATCGTTAAATAATAAATGGCACCCTTTACGCATTTATTTAAATCCATATAAATTTTAAAGTGCGTATTTTTATGGCGTGCGGATCTGGACAAAAATACTTCTTTGTAATATACGACTTGTTTTGAGTTGCAAACATGTTTGTCTGATATAAATATATGATTTCTGGAGAAATCTAGAACTCCTTTGCGAGAAATACAACCTCTGTTTCAGAAATATACCAAGCTTGTTTCAAAAATATACTAGGACTTCTGTTTGAAAAATATAATACTTTGATTTCAAAAATATAGCACTTTATTCGTGTTCACAGACCTTAAAAACAATTGATTTCAAAAGAAATTAATGGTGCAGAACACGAATATTTGAATATTGCCCCCACCACAATTATCGAGTTTGCTACGCCACTGAATTCCTTCATGATATTCTTCCCTTGAGGAATTCAAACATGGAGTAAACATTGACAAGAATTGGGCAAGAAAAGGAACAAGGTGAATCCTTACTAAGAAATCCATCGAAATATGTTTTTTTAGAACCTGAGATAGCTAAAAGAGTAACCTAATAATTGCTTGTGGACATCTGGAGCCAAAACGTGATATAGCCAATGGCGTTTATAACACTGTTGTTAAGTTTCAACGACTTATATCTCGATTGGAAAAACGTTTTCAAGTGTTTGAAGAAGATGAACTGCATTATACATGCCCAACGAAGGTGTGCGACAAGGGCGTGGTAGACCATATGCCTCTCTTCGACCCCTTAAAGTTTTTTTTCCAAAACACCAAGCATTTTAGAAATAGATATCCACGAAAAACCAAGCGACGCAGATTTTCTTTTGGAATCAAAAGCTTTGATCTACCACGCCATGTCGCACACCTTCGTTGGGTATGTTTAATGCACTTCATCTTCTTCAAACACTTGGAAACGTTTTTCCAATCGAGATATAAGTCGCTGAAACTCAACAACAGTATTATAAACGCCATCGGCTATATCATTTGGCTCCAGATCACAAGCAATTATTAGGTTACTCTTTCAGCTATATCAGGTTCTGGGACAATCATATTTCGATGGATTTCTTGATAAAGCTCCTTACCAGCATTTAGGATTGCTAGTAAGGATTCACTTTGTTCATTTTCTTTCCCGATTCTTGTCAAAGTTTCCTCCATGTTTGGATTCCTCAAGGGAGGAATATCATGAAATAGTTAATTTGATTTTCAAAGTAGTCCGCTGACCGTTCGCGGGCGTCATTAAAGTCATATTTTAAATTATTTTTGAAACAAAAGTATTATAATTTCCAAAGCGAAGTACTATCTTTTTGAAATCAAAGTATTATTTTTTTCAAACAGAAGTCCTAGTATATTTTTGAAATAAGCTTGGTATATTTTTGAAACAGAAGTTGTATATCTCATTGTCATTTCTCCGCAAGTCATATATTTATATCAGACAAACAGGTTTGTAACTCAAAACAAGTCGTATATTACAAAGAAGTATTTTTGTCGAGATTGGCACGCCATATATTTTCTCAACAATCGGTTTTAGACAATTAAAAATATAGATAATTCTACCGATTCCGATTTTCTACCGATAAGGCAAGAATCGTCCTGATTATCGGTATCGATAATCAATCCCTATACAGGGTGTATCAAAATAAACGCAATTCATCTTTTGTGCTTAATAACTTTCGAAATACTATTCCTAGTTAAACGCATTTAGGCTTACTTCAAAGCCTGTTCTTTTCTCTTTCAAACAAACTATTATCCTTATCTCCAATGCTAGTAATGATTGCACAGGAAAAGATTTAGTAAAACCTATCATTTTTAGTTGCTGTTTAATTATGCAAGTCTACTATGTTATTGTTTAGTCGGTTTAAATGTTAGAATTTTCTTCTTTAAACTTTAATGTTGTCGTCACTGCATCTGGAAAACCACGTAAGAACAAATTAAAAGTATTTTAAAAGAGACCAGGTTGTTTGAAAATCCTAAACGAATGCTAAAAATCGTCAAAACATTCTGGTGTCTGAGCCAGAGTGTCATCGAATTGCGATGTAATGTAAACAGAAATTATAGCAAGTTGATGTCAGTCAGCTTAGATGGTCAAAGCCAAAATTATATCGCATTTGAAGTTTCAAACTGAGTTTAAAATAGTGGAAGAAAAGCCGTAATTATACTTATTGTTACAATCCATTTAATAAAATGCAACATTTTTTTGTTTTAATGAAAAAATCAGTTATTTTCATGAGGACGATTTGTTATTCCATCTCAATTTTTTTAATCTCCAATCGCAATAACGTAAAG